CTTGAGCCACAGGCGCCGAGCCCTGTCATCAATTTTCTTAACAGCAGCACTAAATACTTAAAAACAATGAGGCAATGCCTTCAATATGTTTTCAACCTAGAATTTTATATTTATCTAAACTCTCAATCAAACATAACAGCAGAATAAATATTTTCAGAACGCAAGGAGATTCAGAAAAATTCCTCCTATGCATACTTTGTTAGGAAGTTACTCGTGAATTTCCCCAACCTTTTTAACATCAGGGACTATTTTCATGGAAGACAATTTTTCAACAGACTAGGTGGAAGTGGGGGTTTAGATTCTCATAAGGAGCATGCAACTTAGATTCCACACAGGCACTTTACAGGAGAGTTCACAAACCTGTGAAATCTAATGCACCTGCTGATCTGATGGGATACAGAGCTCAGGCAATGATGAGAACAATGCGCCCCAGTTCTTAACAGGCCACAGACTGGTACTAATCCACAGCCCAGGAGTTGGGGACCCCAGTCCTATATTATAATGAGTAGAAAATGAAAGTATAGGCTGTGGGATCCAGAAAATAGTGGAGTAACTAGCCAAGGACAGTCACACAAACAACCCAAATTACAGTAAGGACATAGAAGTTTCTGGGAGGGAATATATACCTAAAATGAAGAAAACACATCAGAGGACCTAATTTTCAAAAGTACCCTTAAAAAATTAGCATATTATCTTATTGCAGAAATTTAAAGAAAAAGAAAATAAAATTCCATTAGGGCCACATGCTCCTCCCCAAGATGTCTACATGCTACTTCCTGGAAACTGTGAATGTACCTTAAAGATATAATTAAGCTAAACAACCTGAGATGGAAATATTATCATGCATTATCTGGTAGGGCCTAATATAATCACAAGGGTCCTTACAAGAGAGAGATAGGAGTGAGTGTCAGAGACAAGAGAAGACAATAAAACCATAGAAGCAGAGAATGACTGGAAGATTCTCTTATGCTACTGACTTTGAAGACAAGAGATGAGTACAAAAGCCAGAACATGCAAATGGCATTTAGAAACGGAAGGAAATGGATTTTTTTCCTTAAAGTTTCCGAGAGGAATGCAACTCTGCCAATACCTTCACTTTTGTTAAGAAAATTAATTTGTATTATTTAAGCTATTAAATTTGTGGTAAATTTGTTATAGCATCACAGGAAACTAATACAAAATACCACGTGGAGATAGAGACCATGGGAAAGCCAACTGGAAAACGGAAGCACCACAACACAGAGTAAGCACCAAGAACCCAGACAGGTGAGACAGCCCTGCTAGATGTTCCTGCCCAGCCCAGGCACCAGCTGAATGAAGGTGCGTTAAATGACCCCAACTGATAAAACATGGGGGGATGGCCCAATTAATATAAAACACACAATAATAATAATTCCCAAATTTCTACCTGCAATCAAGATAGAGTAACAGGCACTAAATTTATACTCCCACCTAAACCAAGTGAAAAACTGGACAACCCATATGAACCAAGGATTTTCAGATGCAGGATATCAAGGAACACAAGACAGTGATCCCTTAATGAGAGGAAGCCCTATAATTGTCCCAGTATACTGCCCAAAAAACTTCCAAGCTATTGTGCATGGGCAGAAGCGGGAGGTGAACTTAACTAAGCCTGGGAACAGATTAAAGCACAAAATGGGAGTGATAGAGCAGATGCCTGCAATCTTAGCCCTCTGGGAGGCTGAGGTAGGAGGATCACTTGAGCTCAAGAATTGCAGACCAGCCTGAGCATGAGTGAGATCAGTTGGTGTAGCAGCAGGCACCTACAATCCCAGCTACTTGGGTGGTTGAGACAGGAGGAAGACTTGAACCCAGGAGTTTGAGGTTGCTGTGAACTAGACTAAAGATGCGACATTCTAGCCTGGGCAACAGAGTGAGACTCAGTCTCAAAAAAAATAAGCAACATAAAATAAAATGAATAAGTAAATGGGGGTGATGGGAGACTAGCTCTCTAGAAAATGATCTAATGAAATTCCTATTTGGGAACTCCCCTGCCTCCTAACCCACACTTCAAATGTAACACTCCACATTCATCCAGCCTTAAGGACACTTTTGAAAAACAAACCTATTGACATCAGTACTATTTCTATACTCTGCTTTCTTGATAAGCTACTCACTATCTCTATCCTAACTACCTCATATAATGCCCCTTCTTATATGTGTATACTGGCATAAATCACAGTATCTATAAGTTTAAAATAAATGTCAAAGATTTCAGGAGAAATTAAATGATTTGCAACAAGGATTTATATAAGACTGGGCTCACCATCTAAGACCAGTAGTTGGCCTGGGCATGCAATTCAGATAGTGATAAAGTGCAAACATGACAGTTACGTGGTAATGGACAAGCCTGAAGAGCTGTCATAGGCTACCACCTACAGGACACAAATGGGAACACAGCCTTACCTTTGCTCTATCAGACCATCCAAAGGACTGTACTGTCACGTCTAGTCGTTTCATTAACATTCTCCGGCGGCACTCATATTCACAGGAAAGAGCTTCATTGATTCTTTCTAGCTGTTCCTAAAGAATGTGGAAACAAAAATCAGAAACTTTAAACTCTTTCATTCTATAATGAAAAAAATGTGAAAACTGTGACAAATACTTGCTAATGATTCAAAAGATACCATACTTGATAATCCTTTTCTGATCCGATGAGACTTTATGCCAAATTGTTTAAATAATAAAGAGTATTTGATAGAATACTTATCAATACTTATTTGATAGACATTAAACATATAAATTAAACTCAACCACTGGTAAAGTTTACCTTATCTCCAATCAAACACATTAATTTAAATAAAATATTTACTTGCTAAGTAGTCTGGATCAAAGGAAAGAAAATACCAGTAACTTATCTTGTTGGCTGTGAGCCACTATCCTCTTCAAATCACAACTGTGCTAACATATTGGGGACTATAAATATTTCTGGCCAGGTATTTTTTAAATTAATAATTTGATTGAAGAAATGTTAAGACATATTCAGAATATCAATCTATTTTAATTCTCAAAAATATTACATGCTACACACTATAAAATCTAGATATTGATTTATAAAATTAAGTCATATTCACTAGTTTAATTACATAAAACTAATAGGAAAGGGGGATTTACCGCCTGTTCTGGATTTAAATCAATTTTCAGCAATGGTTTTCCCACATGATTATTCTGGACTTTTGAGAGAATATCTTTCACCTAAAAGTAAATAAAAGATGTGAAAATGTATATCCCCAATATAAAACAATCTTATTCTTGTTTAAATTGTTCTGAACACTAGAGAATAAATGTTAAGTGAAATAATTAAAATGTACCTTGACAAAACAAGAAAAGAGCATCACTATAATACAGAATATATTTTTCAAAAAAGCACTAGAATACCTTCATTCCCAAAATAAAATTAAAAGGTTCTCCCATGAGAATCTGTATTTTAGTGAAATAATTTTGGAGTTTCTACTTAAGATGGCACTCTCTTAAATTTTCAAGAGGGATACTAAAACCTTTGACCACAGCACGTTGATTTTTCTCAAATAACACTAGGCACACATTCCAGTTTTAAGCAGTCTGGTTTCACTGTTCAGCAAAACAAAAGAAAGGAACAAGTCCTCTCTCTCAGTTACAGTCATCATATTCACATTTTCACTGCCGTTGCAAAGTCACAAACTTAAGTTACTTGAAACATTTTTATTTTGGTAAACAAGATGTTAGGCATTTATTTTTCCTTTAGGCATTATCAGGGGGTCATTCCAGCAGCAGTAATTTATCCTCCTAAATGGTTCCTCATTGGCTGAAAAAAAAATTTTATCAAACAGTTTCTTAGTTATAAAGTAACTAGGAAAAACAATCAGGAACACTTCATGTTTTGAGAAGTATGACTCATCTTTAATGTCGAAGACTCATTTTAAGAAAAAGAGTTAAAAATTAAATTAGCTTGGACTCTGGAGTGGTAATGAGAAATAACTAGGCACAAGATTTCCTTTCAGAATGATGGAAATGTCCCAAAGTTAGATTTGAGTGATGGTTGTACAATTCCATAAATACACTAATTTCACTGAATTGTATACTTGAAATGGGTGAATTTTAATGGCACAATTATGTTTTGAGAAAGGCATTTTTTTAAACTAGCTTAGAAAGAACCTATGCAAATAAGGGCCCCCAAAGCTTAAGGTTTAATGTCTTCACAGGAAATTTACCTCAGTAACAATGGCATAATTACTGTACTCAAACAGTTTTTACATATTTTAAGGAACCAACTTACTTTCTTAAAATAAACCATTTTTGTGGATTCCCCAATTATTGTAAATATCTTCAATTTTATGTTATTTCCTATCTTACTGAAAATGTTAGTTCTAACTCCTTGCAAGGAGTTTTTAATGTACATTTGCAGGCTCTTACATGTAATCACATTCAGTTCCATTCCTAGAATTTCAACATTAGATAATAGTCTTACTAAGTTTGAGATTTACTTATTATAGAGTGAGTTAAGAGCACAAGTTCTGGAGGCTGACTATCTGAATTCAGACTCAGGCCTACCACTATTTAAAAACTTGCTTGAAAAAAATAAATTAATTAAAACTGGCTTGAGTTATTACATTTTTCACTGCCTCAGTTTCCTAGCATAGCTGTTGTAAATAATAACAGTACCTATGTCACAAGCATGACTGGAGAATTAAATAAGGTTGTTTTTGTTTTGTTTTTGAGACAGGGTCTCACTTTGTTTCTCTGGGTAGAATGCCATGGTGTCATAGCTCACAGCAACCTCAAACTCCTGGGCTCAAGCAATTCGCTTCCCTGAAGCTCCCAAGTAGCTGGGACTACAGGGACCCACCACAACACCTGGGTACGATTTAGAGATGGGGGGTCTTGCTCATATTCAGGCTGGTCTTGAACTCATGAGCTCAAGCAATCCACTGCCTCAGCCTTCCAGAGTGCTAGGATTACAGGCATGAGCCATCGCTCCTGGCCCTAATTAAATAAGTTTTTAATATGTAAGCATTTAGAACTCTAAATACTGTATGTTTGTTGTTAATATTCCCATAATTACACATTTGAACATCTGTAAGTTAGAAAATAATAATTTTCTTTCTCACCAGCAACAAAGCATCTGCTGGATACATCAAGTGTAGAAAAAAGAAAATAGGAAAATTTTTACTTTTGACAGAAACCAAATGAAGTAAGGAATTCTTTTTAGGCAAATATTTAGCCAACATGGCCAAAGTGACAATTACCTTATATTTGAACATGGGGATTACAGTCTGCTTCAAGTAGGGAAAAGGATTTGAGAATATTATTCACACTAACTAAAAACAACAAAAGGGAAAAGCCTCTTTGGATTAATACAGGGAAATACTGGAAGATTAGGAAAAGCTCAGAAACCTATCTCAGTATGAAATAGTTCCAAAAATTTCAGCCAAACTCTCTGGTTTGCAAATTCTACAAAAAAAAATTTTTAATATTTTTTTTATCTTAATACTAAAATTCTTTTACATTCATTAAGACAACCTTATTTTCAGGTTCATTAATTATCAGTGCAAAAGATCTTTACTGAATAAGGATTTAATTAAGGCAATGTGCCTTAAAATGGAGTTAAAGTACATATTCCTGAGCGTAAGGAGAATTTTCTTTTCCTTTAAAATGGATTTGTATTATTCCCCTATAGGACTCCATATTTAATAGATGAAACCAGGAACTAGGCCAGAATTTGGTCTATGAGAGTAGTAGCATGCTCTCTAATATGTGGCATTTTAGTTGGTAGTTTACCAATTAAAACAAAAATGTTTTTAGATGCATGAGGTACATAGTTTGTGACAAATTAGGTTACATATATACTAAGCCTAAATCCAAAATTTAGTTTACATGAAAACAAACTTCTCAAGAAATGAAATGTGTATCACTTAAAAAGAGTATTTTCATTTTTAATATAGCATTTACTACAATTTTTTAGAAATTAAAAAGCAAGACTTGGCGCCTGTGGCTCAAGTGGCTAAGGTGCCAGCCACATACACCTAAGGTGGCGGGTTCGACTCCAGCCTGGGCCCGCCAAACAACAATGATAACTGCTACCAAAAACCGCCTGGCATTGTGGCGGGCATCTGTGGTCCCAGCTACTTGGGAGGCTGAGGCAGGAGACTCGCTTGAGCCCAGGACTTGGAGGTTGTTGTGAGTTGTGATGCAATGGCACTCTACCCAAGGGGACAGCTTGAGGCTCTGTCTCAAAAAAAAAAAAAAAAGAAAGAAAGAAATTAAAAAGCAAAACAAATACAATACCTTTGATTCCACTTGGTTTAGCATAAGTGGAATGTCAGAAGTTGTTGTCTTGGGTATACCAAGGGTATCACACATAGCTTGAATTTCCTGATGAATTTCACTATTTTTATCTAATTGAGAATGTTTACATTTCTTGTTCTGTAATATCTGTGAGGCTTGAAGTTCTGTACTTAAAAATACTATAAAAGAGAAATAAAGAGAAAACCAAATAATGTTAATACATACACAAGAATTTCTTGAAATATTTCACTGAAAATAAATATTAACAATACTAATAGTAATACCAACTTATAAAGAACTAAACAGTTCAATATCTACCAATAACTGTAGAATACTACAAACTTTAAAATGAGAAAAGAAAATTACCTAAAGCTAGTTAAAGTGGCATTCAAAATAAATGTATTTACACTGTACTTTAAATGGTTGGTTGTTTTCCACATTAGAGGCGCCTGAGCAGCTTCCCACTAGAGTTAAATGCACAGGGTCCAGGTTCCCATAAAGCAGCTTCACTTCCACCTGCTTTAACTGTAGTGGTTTAACCTGAGACTCAGCAAAACTAAAATAAATTTATTTAATACTATCAGGGAAAAGAGGAATGGCTTATTTTATTCTCTTTGATTTCACCCTGATTTCGGTTCCATTTTAATAAACATATTAAATGATCTAGATTGCTATTTCACTAAATACATATTTTCTAAGGGCCTATTCTGAGCCAGGTACCAGATAGACAATGAAGATGCAAAGTCATAAGAGAGAGTGTCCACACTCAAAGAGTTTAAAATCCAGTAGGTGAGATCCATAAGCAAATCAATAATTTAAGAATGCCATATAAGAATGTGTAGGACACTGATAAAGGGCTCTCTCTCATATGTACAAAGTACCCAGGACAGGGGAGAACATACACCTCTTAACTAATCTATAAGCAGATAGAGCAACTGAGTCAGGACAGACCATGTCAAGCTGCTTAACAAATCCTTTTACTTTCATCATTTAATTCTTTCAACAAATTTCAGAAAATTACTCAAAATTCTTAGATAGCTACAGTCTTGCTTTAAATTAACTTTGTATAATATTTGAAATTTTTTATATTTGTTTAAAATTATACACAAACACACACACACACACCCCAACTTACTATAGCAATTTTAACTCCAGATAACCAGAAGAAATACCTAAAAAACTGTTCAAAAGTATAGATACTATGGTTCCATCCTCAGAGATTTTAAGCCAACAGATTTGAAGTAGGAGTTGGGCATCTGCATGGTCTGCTTTAGACCCAAGGTGATTGTCACTGGCAGACAGGATTGAGAGCCACTTACTTATAGACTTTCTCATGCAATTTACACATGGCAGTCTGAAGAGCTAAGTACCAAAAAGTTAAGATCAGTATCTATCACACTTTGTTCATGAAGACTATGCTAAGGTCCCTCTAATTTAAAAACCTCACTAAAACAAATTATCAGTTCTTCAAAAATTTATATTTTGGACAAAACCTTGGCTAAAATCTACCTTTGCTCTGTGGAAACATGCTTTCTCTCTACATAATAGTAGACTCCACTTTAGTCTATCATTCAAAACGTTAACCCATGTAGACAATACAGGGAAAAGTAAGTCTTCCCATCAGAGATCCTTAGACCCTCTCTCCCCAGAGGCAATTATTAGTTTGGGGGGTATCTTTTTAGGCATATATATGTGCACACATTCAGTATACATATTCCCCATCTATAAGCTTTTGTTTCTTTTATATAAATAAGCATACTATGCATGTTCTATATATACATTTTTTTACCAACACATCTTAGATCTTTATCAATCTCATCTATTTTCCTTCTTTCTAATATCTACTTAGTAATATTACTGCAAAAATGTACCATTTCTATTTAACTATTTACAGACACTCAGGTTTCCAGTCTTTTCTTCTACTACAATGTTATAATGAACATCCTTTTCACTCATCTCTGTGCACTTAGGGGAATAAATATATATTCATAGACATAAAATTGCCAGATCAAAAGGCAGGTCAATCTTAATTGTGATAATGAAAATAGTTTTACTCTTTAGAGGCTGGACAAGTTACTCTCCCACCACAGTCTACTCGTGTAGTGTATGAGAATGCTCCCGTGCCTATTCCCCGCAACTCGTAGTATGACATTGTGGTGGTGGTCTTTTCTAGCCTGCTAAGTAAAAATGGTATCCTGTGATTTTACATTCCTAACTCCTGAGTGATATAGTGCATCTTTTCATGCCAGAAGCAATTTTTAGAAAACATTCTTTTCTATAGAATCCATGCTCATGCCTTAGCACTTCATACATTTTTCCAGTGAATTTTTCTCTTTTCCTCTTGACTTATAAAAGCTCCTCACACAGTAAGGAATCTGGCCTTTTTAATCTTAGAACGTGAAGAATCTTATTATGTCAATATGATTAAAACAGTCAAACTCAAGATAAAAAAGCAACAGATCCTATTAAAATTATGAATTGTGAGTTCGATCGGGAGCAGGAGCGGAGAGCGACCCCAGAGAGCCCTGAGCAGCCCCACCACCACCACTGGTCTAGTTACCATCACACATGGGGAGGAGCTGCAGCCGGCCCCAGTCACCATCACCAACCATGAGCAGCGAGGCCGAGACCCAGCAGCTGCCTGCCGCCCCCCGCGCCGCCCCCGCCCTCAGCGCTGCGGACACCAAGCCCTGCACAGGGGGCAAGCTGCGCAGGGAGCGGTGGCCCGGGCGGCCTTACATCGGTGGCGCCTGCGGGCGGGGACAAGACAAGAAGATCATCGCAACCAAGGTTTTGGGGACAGTAAAATGGTTCAATGTAGGAAACGGATATGGTTTCATCAACAGGAATGACACCAAGGAAGATGTGTTTGTACACCAGACTGCCATAAAGAAGAATAACCCGGCTCGGCGCCTATAGCTCAACCGGCTAAGGCGCCAGCCACGTACACCTAAGGTGGCGGGTTCGAATCCCCAGCCCGGACCCGCCAAA